AACGGAGTTCAGTTTTGGCCCTGTTGAGTTTAAAAATGAGTGAACAGCCATCAAGAGATGGTAGAAAAGCTGAGATAAGAAAATAGATGGAGGGAAGAGACGGAATTTGGTGTTTGTGGCTAGGAGCACTTAAGTATACAGGAGAAGAGAAGGGAGCCAAGGACAAAGACTTGAGGGATACCCACAGAAATGGGGAAAGGAAGACCCACCAAATGAGACACGACGAGTGATCAGAGAGGTTGGAGGAGAACCATGACAGGCCAGAACCAAGGAAGATAAAACATGAAGCAGTAGGGACTGGTCAGTGATGTCAAAAGCCACCCAGAGGTCAAAGGAGACGAAGATGGAGAACAAGTCCTGGCCAAGGTGGTGTCACTAGAGACTTCCATGGACTGTAAAGACCAGAAGCCACACTAGAGAAGGTCAAGAACAGAATTGAAAGAAAAAGTGCAGACAGCACAACAATTTGCAGTTGTCAAGCCAGCAATTAGAATACAGCTCTGGAGGGGATGGACCACCCTGCAGTATTCCCTAGACACCCCTCTACCACAGAAAGCTCAGGTAATACTTCATCACAAAGACAGCTGAAAAGTTTAAGGGTCACCATTGTCCACAAGAATGTTGGAAAGAGTTCCAAGAAGAGCCACGAGAATGATTTAAGGTCTGGAAAACCTGCCTTATCGTGAGAGACCAGCAGCCCAATCTATTCAATTCAATCCAAGAGAGGAGTCAAAGGGAATAGGATTATGACCTATTAGTACCTCCACCTTGAGGAGATTTCTGATAGCAGGGGGCTCTCTGATCTAGCAACTGAAGGTAGAGCAAGCTCTAAAGGCTGGGAACCGAAGCTGGACAAATTCAGACTAGAAATAAAGTGTGAATTAATACAGATTTTAACAATGAGCTGATTAACCATTTGAACAACTTGCCTAGGAATGTGGTGAATTCTCCATCTCTTGGGGTCTTTAAATCAAGATTAGATTGGTTTTTCTAGAAGAGAGATGCTACAATTCAAACAGAAGTTATAGGCCTTGATGCAGGAGTCAGTGGCCGAGGTTCTCCAGGAGGTCCGACTAGATGATCATAATGGAAAAATAAAATAAATAATAATAATAATAATAAAAGCTATGAATGGGTAAAAGTATCACAAAACATACACTGGTCCCACTACAGGGAATGGTAGAGGATAGATCAGTGGATCAAAAAGTACCAATATTCCAAACAGAGCAAGTTGTGGGGAGGAACAGACCGAAAACCTTCCCAGAATCAGAGGACGGTTGGCACTTCCCCTCCTTAAGGCACTGATAATACCCATCAACAAGAGCACCACAGTTTAGCTATGTTAAGCAACTAGGGTGAGAAGAAATGACTACTTACTCGAACTGTGGTTCTTTGAGATGTGATGCAGACGTATATTCCAAGTAGGTGTGTGTGTGCACCTTGCAAGCTGGAGACTTTTGCCTAGCAGTGCCCGTAGAGGAGTGGCACTTGCACCTCATGCCTGTAGCCCCTCCCTGGCTATATGAGGCAGTGCCACCCCGACCCTCCTCTGTTCCTTCTCGCTGAATGCTCAGGGGAAGAGACGCCAATGCAGAGGGGTTGGGGAACACAGGCAGTCCTCAATGTTTATAAATGGACATCCTGTTTCAACTTTACGACACCGGTTACAACGTTACGACTCTCGATCCAACATTGTTCCTATGGGAAATTCAAGTTACGTTTTTGACTTAAGACGCAATTTTCAGGAACCAATGGTGTCGTAAGTTAGAGGACTGCCTGTACATATCTGTATCGCAACCTGAAGAACCACAGTTACAGTAAGTAACCATTTCTTCTTCAAGTAGATGCAGATGTGTATTTCAAGGTGACTAGTCAGCAGTAATTTCATCCAGAGGCAAGACCTCTATGAGGGAGGAGCCTCCCACTGGTGGCCACAAGGTGGCCACTGGTATGGATAAGGCATCAGTGGCAAGTAGGTGCCGGACCAGGGACCCCTATCCTGGCCTCGAGGCGTGTGCCAACCCAGGTAGCTGTAGTGGTCCACCGGTGGCCCCCAGACTCCCTCAGGTGAAGTGGAGTGGGGGGGATAAGGAGCCTGACTCTGAAGCAGAGGAGTCCTGGGACCTCAGAAACATGGGAAGAGCAACTCCAGAGGGAGCCAACAGGTGATCTGACCCATCCGCAGCCCAGAACGAAAAAGCAGTCGGTACGACTGGTACCGAAAAGGTCGGTGCCATAGGCAAAAATCAGTCCTGATGCAAATGATGGTACCAGAGCGCCCACATGCTTCACCACTGAGGACGATGACAAGCTCCATGGGACCATCTGCAGCACCTACTGCATTGGTGCTGAGGAAGGGCCCCATGTAACACACAGAGTAGCACCAGGAACCCCCATATTCACCACTGTCATATAATTATGCTATGTTTTGTACAAAGTATGCCTCGTGAGGTATCATTCTAAAAGTCTTGATCTGTTGAACTTTAATATCCTGTTTTATTGTATGTGAAGTTATGAACTATTGCTGTATGTGTTACTGAAATGTGCTGTGAGCTCGGGAACACCCACAACCAGCCTTTCAGGTACAACAATGGAGTAGTCAGATAGCAGTTAATGGCTCATCAACACCCATCAAGGAAAGAATCCACTATCCCAGAGATTGTATGCAATAGAGACTATTTGACCAATGGGACTGCCTGATCCCCATGTCACAGGAAAAGATCTTTCCAACAAGGTGGAAGAAAACATAAAAGAGGGATGTGACATCATCACTTGGTCTCTCTCCCCTCCCCCCACCCAATTCAACTTGACAACAGCATCACAGTGTGAGAGGGACCCCAGGTTGGTGGGACAGAGGGCTCAGTGCTCCCACAGTCCAGGTTGCACCCTGGGGACCCTGTCACACCAAGTACTGAAGAACCTTGTACTGTCTCTGGTACCATGTCCATGCCGAGCCCTGGAGGGAGGATATCATGGTGCGGAGCTAATCCTTTGGGAGCACACTCTGACTGAGAGGCCCTTGTGGGGCGGCAGCCTTGCGAACTCTTGGACCAGGAAGGAGGATGGGACTGAAAGGCAGAGTAGATCCGCCACAGCCTGGTGTGCTGACATCACCGATACTGTTTGTACTGGCATCGTTCCCGTTGGTACTGGATTCAATGCATGCCTGGAGGCCGGAACCAGAGTTGACAGTTTGGGGCATCTGCCCTCTCTACCCTGTACCAAGGGAGGGTCAGAAGCACCCGCATCATCCCGCACGTCAGAGTCAGCACCGTGCAGGTCCACGCTCTTATTAGGGGAGGCAGAAGAATTGTTCTGGACTTGGAACACTCCCGACTGGTCTTATGAGACCTCTTCTGTGGTGCCCATGCTGGAGAAAGGCTCCTGTGTCTCTTCGGAGAGGTCCCTGCCCCGGAACAGGAGGCAGTAGCACTCTCCAAGCCAGAGGGCGAGCTGCTGCCCAAGGAAGACCTCGGCACCGGGTCAGGCCTCGTGGCCTACTCAGGCAGGGGCTGCTTAAGGAGAAGGTCCCGTGCCACCCAAGTCCGCTTCTTGAATGATCTGCAGATCGAACACCACACCTTACAGTGGGCTTCTCCAAAGCAGAGCAAGCACCATGTGTGGTGGTCGCGGTTGGGAATCGCCACTCCGCATGAAGAGCAATGCTTGAATCCCGGTAAAGACATCACCAGGGAGCACTACCACCGACACCAATACTACACTAAAACTTTTAGCAACTATATACAACAGAGCAGGCTAAGATACAAATTCACAAGGTTATAAAGCAACAAGTGCACAAGACTAACTCCTGCCAATGGGCTGTAAGAAGGAACTGATGGGGGGTTGGGACAGCGCTGCCTCATATAGCCTGAGGAGGGTCTACAGGCACAAGCACCACCTCTCTATGGATGCTGATAGGCAAGAGTCTCTGCCTCCGGGGCACACGCAGATCTACTTGGAATACACGTCTGCATCTACTCAAAGAACCACGTCATGTGTCTTCTGCAAATCCAGAAACATCAAGGACAACCTGGTCCCACACCTGGAGAGCAAGAGCATGAAAACTCTCGGACAAAAGGCACTTCCAGCGAGGATAGAGGGGTTGATTTAAGAGGAAAGATTAAATGAGAACTGGCCTAAAATCATCACTGGTGTAGTATCAGTATTGTACCTGAGGCCTGAATCAGGACCAAGGCCCCATTGTGCTGGGCACTGCACCTGCAGCAAGACAAGGAACGGCAAGTAGCTAACCATCTAATTGTATAACAAAAGTGCAACGAGTGCGTTTAATAAATAGGAGGAAGAATTGAGAGGAGGAGAAGGGTAAGAGTGGGAGGAAGTTAAACTAATTGGTTATATTAATGCAGTCACTGGGTTCTTGGATTTGATCTGAGGTAACTGATGGTCTACTTAATACTGTAGTTATAAAAAATTGTCAGACACAGAGTTGGACGGGTGCTCATGCGTTGCAGCACAGTAAAAATCCAAGTAAGTGAAAAGAAAAAATAAGGTCAGGGGTTACACAAACTCATGAATGCCCAGTCTGATCGGTCAAAAAAATGTATATGAAGATGTATCTAATCCGCTGTTTACTTCCATTTAAACCAATTATTGCTATTTTGAACTCCAGTTTCCTTTCCCTTTAGCTCGGCCTTCACATTACAAATCAGTGATGAGGTAAACCCAGCATCTCCAGAAAACAGCCACCTATAAGCATGCGCCTAAGGGGAAGAGGCTTGACCTAGAGCAGGACACGGGGAAAACACCAGAGATTGTGTACACATGGGGTATAAGCAGGAGAACTGAGTAAAGAGGGTTAGTTAATTTCAGGAAAGTTTCCCTAGAAAGCGACAGCTCTGTTCCACTTTCAATCAAGCTATAAAGAACATGGAAACCCCACTGTTGAGGTATTTACAATCAGAACCAGGACAGACCCCGGGGGAACAGACTGTAGGGAATAAATATTCATCCTGCTTTGTCTGCAGGTGCTGGGACTTCAAGCTTTTCCAGATCACATTTTGATGATTCTCAAACTTTCATATCCCGGGCTGTGCAGTTCCCTTTCCCATCGTATACGCGTCATGTTTGCTGCAAATCCAGTTTGTGTGTGAGGAGCACCTTGAAGAGCCAACAAATCCATCACTCAGATAAGCACAGTGTCCGCCTCCTTTAATTTCAAACCTGCAACATAAAAGCCAGGAGCTAGAGTCAGCCTGGGGCTGGGCATTGCCTGCCCCGCCCAGAGGGAGGGAGGTGCTCCACATTAATGCAACACCTCAATTAGCGAACAAGCCCCCATTGTACAAGGAGCAAAGAGGCCCATTGCAATTCCTTCCTGGCGGAAAGGGAGCAAATGGGGAAGAGACTGAAACAGAGCCAGTTTGGGGTTAGCAGGGCAGCCCCAGCTTTTATTCCAGATAGATGTTTTTATCCCAATTCCTGGTCATTTCTGCCCCAACCTGGGACCTGTGATTGGCTCTTGCAGGCCCAATTTCCAGCCAGAGTGCCCCAAAAGGAAGGATTTCAGGGATCGTTCCCACATGGCATTGAACATGGAGCCTTCACACACACACACACACACACACACACACACACACACTAGGACCTCCACAGCAGGGATGCTTCTTAGACCAGCGGCTCTCAAGCTTTCCAGATGACTGTACCCCTTTCAGGAGGCTGATCTGTCTTGTGTATCCCAAAGTTTCACCTCACTTAAAAACCAACTTTCTTACAAAATCAGACATAAAAATATAGCAGTGTCACAGCCTCTATTACTGAAAAACTGCTGACGTTCTCATTTTGTCTGTATGACATTTTAGTTTGTACTGACTTCACTGGTGCTTTTTATGTAGCCTGTTGTAAAACTAGGCAAACATCTAGGTGAGTTAATGTACCCCCTGGAAGACCTCTGCGTACCCTCAGAAGGATGCGTACCCTTGGTTGAGAGCGACTGTCTTAGAGCACTGAGAGTCCGTTTCAACCCCTGAGGCATGCCAGGGCACACTGGATTTGTTACCGAGCTAAGGTCTGCTGTCCTATTCGGCTCCTTCATCGTGCCCAACACAGATTGCAAAGCAACAATTCCAGGATTAAGAGTCCCAGGCTCCACCCAGCGCCTTCACACAGTATCCCAAGAGTCGGAGGAGTCCAGAGACAGACCCCGACAGAGCTCGGGGCCAGGTCACAGAGCCTCCAGCTTCACAGCCAGTTCCATGGAGGGCTGGTTGGGATGCTTGTTATCCCGGAGCCAGGGTTTTAGGGTTAGTATATAGAGGAACTCACAGGTCGTTCAATTTGGTGCCATTGAACCATTTCCAGGGCTGGTCCTGCTCTCTCCTGAGGCCGAGCCAATGGTCAAGTTTGCCTTTACAGCGCAGCAGGAACGTCTGTATTAGAAATACAAAAGCAAAGGAACAGCGTGAATGAGACCCGGAGAACGTGGTACTGAACCTCACCCACCCCAGCACAGCAGGGAATCTAAGGGCTTGCCATGCAATTTTTTCAAAGGGGAACTTCCACTCACATTCAAGGGGGCTGAGGTGTTCAAAGGATGAGCATTCACCCTCTCCATTCACAGTTCTCCCCACTCTTGTCTCCCAATCATCCTCCCCCCAACAATTTCCTGTAGGGGAGGGAAAGCTGCATGGCTCAACATGGGTATAAGCTCCAGTCCCTCTCTGCAAGGCCTTGTACCCTCTCTCCCCATCACTGGAGTGGGGCTAGGAGGACAGAGCTGGGCCTGGAGCAGAGCGGTGACCCCTTGCAGAGCCCAGTGGCGATATGCGCGGGCATAAAGCAGGCGTCCTGCTCAGCTGGACATTCCTCCCACTCCAAGCATGGCAGTAGAGCAGTGCCAGGTTCACAATCCCTGCCTGACCTGCAGCCAGCCCCCAGCCAGGCTTCGGCTGACCCAACCCAACTCAACAGAAGTGCTTCTCCTGCCTGGAGCTCTGAAGAAAGGACAATCGCATACTGACCACAGTTGGAATTCAGCTGCTGGACTTTCATTCCCTTTGGCTCGGCCCTGTCCCGCCAAGTCCAGTCTAGGTCATTATCAAGCACCCGTGCTTGTCTCTCTCTCACCATTTCCTGCGGGGTGTCGATCGCAGCCAGGGAGGCACCGAAGGAGGAGCAGTTGCTCTGGCTGTTGTTCCAGTTTTCTCCGGCCTCTGAGAAATAGTAGCATTTCCCTCCATACCCGACCCAGTTGTGTGGGCATGAGGGGCTACCAAAGGGATCTGGAGAGGACATTAGAACTTGAGCTCCAGCGGTGAATTCAGTGAGGAATGGATATAACCAACCCACAACCCAGTGCCCTGCACAGAGAGCTAGGCCCAAACTCAGACTTAAAGCAGGAGGATGGCAAAACCCAATTAAAGGTCCGAGTTCAGAATAATCAGCTGGGATGGCTACCCCTGGGGCAGGCTGGTTCTCTTCAGGAAAGGAGAAACCCCCTTCTGCCCCCCCCCCAAATCCCTCTCCCACGCAGAGTTCTGATTCCATAAGGGGAAGAGTGCCAGAGACTCAGGAAGTTCATGAGGGACTTAACTATTGCTGATGATTTTACATGGGAGGCGCCCAGATACTGCAGTGATGAACATCAGGATAAATGTCCTAAAAAGCATAGCATCATTCTGGTCGTCTACTTCATTCCTCACTGCAGAATCTGGTTCTGAATCCTAGGCATGAGACTGATAGCGGTGTGCTTAATACCATAATAGAGAGCCATAAGAACAGCGCTGTAGTTTTCAGTTAGTGACATGAAATAAATAGCCACAAGGTGATACCAGACCTCAAAACTGGGACTGGCCCATTTGAGGACATCAGTATATAAAATCTAGGAACTAATTAATTTGTTTCACTTTTTATTTAAGAAGACTTTGCCTGCCGAAAGCAGCAGCAGACAAAGAGTTAAACAATAAAAGCTCCTTGAGAAAGCCATCAGTAAAATGTAACCCTATCAGTAAACTAATTTAGATTTTTAATTAAACTGATGTAAAATTCTGTATGGAGGCTGGGTCACAGATTAATGCTCAGATTAAACAGCATGACCAGTCCCCCTCCACGAATCACACACAAAGGGGCCAGTTAACATCAGTGGGCTTTTCCCTTTGAAGCTGGACGCTTGATTTACGTTCTCAGCCACTGCCCTTTGCTATAAAAGGGCTTTTGCACCGAATAATAAAGCACACTGTAGTTGCCACTGCAGGGGCTGCCTCTCCTGACAGCAAGCTCAGTTTGGGACTGACTGAGGAGCTCACGGGGAGAGGGAGATGATACAGTGAAAGGGTGAAGCCGGTAGAAAGGCAAGGCCTGCAGTCTCATCATAACCTTCAGAGGGGTGGCACAGTTGGGCGAGGGGTCTAAATTCAGTCCATTAAGCCCAATATAGCTCCATAGAGAGCCGGTATTTTACAACAGGGAGCTGGGAGACCAGAAGCAAGAGTTGAAAGTTTTCTGTTTAAAGCTGAGGAGAGAATTAGAGACTGTGATGGCTAAAGGGAGGAAACAGGACACAGAAACCTGGCCAAGGAGACCTGGGACTCACCTGAAAGAGCTCCTGCCAGAGCTGCTACCGACACTCCTACCAGCACTACCAGAACTACTATGATGATCAACAAGCCATAGACTGGGATGGTGACTTTATTTCTTAGACATTTGCAGAATGTGGAGCTAGCTCGATCACCTGAAAAAGTAAAGCCATTAATGGCCCTGGGTACTGCGGGCGGAGGAGCATTAGTTACAATCGAGCCTTGTCTGCACTGAAGAAATTTACAAGATCAGAAGGGACCATCATGATCATCTAGTCTGACCTCTTGCACAGGCTCTATCTAGCTTTGCTACTGGCTCCATCAGATTTGCTTTCAGAAAGGGTAAATGGTGGTGGTGAAAATAGCTCTGGCTGAGCTGTCTCTAGATTACAGATCCCCACCGGCCCTTCCATCACCAGTTCAACTAGAACTCGTGGGAGTTTGTGTGTTTTCCCAGCACACTAATGGCTACAGAGTGACGTTTAGCAAATGCGCTCCCTGCTCTGTAGCAGGATACGTAGGGCTATTTCATTACTTAGATTATACTTGTGTGCCGAGTCAACAGTCAGGATCAAGATCTGCTGTGATAGGTGTTTACAAACACCTGGGAAGATATGGTCCCTCACCCAGAGAGTTTACAATCTGAGACGACAGATGATCGGGAGAGAGGGATACCAAAATATAGATCAATATTTTTTCTTCACACCTTTCCCCTCCCCAAACCACCTGCTCATTGGGATTTTAGTTGAAGACATCACAGTAGCAAGTCTGGATAAGGGACCTACAAGACGGTATCAGGTAATTATGGATCAGTTCCACTTCACCACCACCACCCCTGCCTCCTCCCTACAGTCTTCTAGGGCTGTTACCCAGAGTACGCCAGAGCTTGCCAGAGCTCACCAGGGCACATAGTGGAGCAGGGATGGGAAATGTGTCTGTGTCTCAGACGCACCCGCACTCTGCAGCTTCTGCCCCCTTGTCTGGGGGATCAGAATCTCAGGCACTGTACCCAGCTCCCTGCATTAGACCAGGTTGCTCCAAGACCTGTCAGAGGGTCTGGCCATACGATTGCCTGACCCCACCTTAGGGAAGGCAACGTATCGGAGATCAGCACCTTCTGAGGGGCTGCATACAACAGTAGCTGCAGGTACCGAGCTGGGAAACTGCCTGGTGGCATCTAGCAGAGGGATCAGGTCCCCCATGGGAAGTAGGATTTGGGGAGTCACACCCACCAATAAAATTACGGATCCGTCTATATAAGTCTCGGATCCTCTCCATGGCCTGTGTCCGCACAATGGTGTTCTGATTTCTTGGGTCCTCTTCTGGGTCTCTATTGCAATGAGGATGTTTCTTCAGCCACAGTTCCTGCTCCGTGGGACCCTCTTCTTTCTTCATCTCCCCACTCAGCACGAGGCACTGGGGTTCCCGTGCTGGCATGTAATCAGCTTCCTCTCACTGGCTGCAGGGAAGGCCTCAGAATCAGTATCAGCAGGTGTCCCAACAATCAATACCTTCCCAACCCACCAACCCCACCCTAGAGTACTTCCAGAGAGCGAGGGTGATGCAAGAGGCAGACACGTGGACCGAAATGCAGACACCTCTGGGGTGGGGAGGGAGAGACAGCACCTCCACAGGCCGAGCATGCCCAGCTCCTGGAGGACAGGTGAGAGGAAAAGCAGCGCGCACATTATGGGCGGTGCTGTTGTAGCTGTGTCAGTCCCAGGATCCCTGTTATGGTCAGTCAGTAAATGTCACTCTTCCTTCTCCCCTCCGATGTTAGTGAGGGCAACGTGCCCCCATGTGTCAGCGCTCCCCCACGCATGGGCACAAAGAGAAGGGGTATGTGAGGTCAGCCGGAACAGCCCTGGCAAGGGAAAGAAATGCCCACTGCAAACACCTTCCATCCATTCTTCTCTGCTGGGTAACCAGCGATCTGACAGGGGCTTATGCCAACTGGCTCTGCAAAGCAAACCATGGCTTTACACTAGACAGTTGGCTACAGGAGATGGGGCAAAGGAACGAGAGACCAGGGAGTGGAAGGGGGCATCTGCCCTGGCAGTGAGAGGGGGAAGGCATGTAAATATCTTACAATGCCAGCTACAACAGTTTCATGGGAACACCTGTTCTCACTGTCAGGTGACGTAAATAAGAAGCGGGCAGCATTATCTCCCGTAAATGTAAACAAACTTGTTTGTCTGAGCGATTGGCTGAACAAGGAGTAGGACTGAGTGGACTTGTAGGCTCTAAAGTTTTACACTGTTTTATTTTTGAATGCAGCTAATTTTTGTACATAATTCTACATTTGTAAGTTCACCTTTCATGATAAAGAGATTGCACTACAGTACTTGTATTAGGTGAATAGAAAAATACTATTTCTTTTGTACAGTGCAAATACAGTAAAAGCTTTGTTATCCGGCACGTTGATGGAATGGAGGGTGCGGGTTAATCAAATATTCTGGTTAACTAAGTTATACTTACCCATGGAATACCAATTTTCAAAGAATTAGAATACAATAAAACGAATAAAGTATAAAATAGTAGACAGATACTCACCAATCCAGTAGTAATAGTGCACTGCAGAGTGGTTGGTTTCTTGAAGCACTTAGGTGTAGACAGGGAAAGTTTTCTATACAGGAGGGTATCTTATGACACTACATATCCCTATGGGCAGCGCATGGTGTACACCCAGATCACTAAAAATACACTGAACACTAAAACTACACTGAACATCATTTAATCTTTCTTTGATGATTCAGAAGGCACTTCAGGATCTTGCAGTACCTCAGGGTCATCACTATCAACATCAATTATCATTGTAGATGACAAACCTTGGAAGCTGCTTTTTGAATAAATCCCTGATATCAGCTGGCTGACTTGTCTTCTGCCTCTTTTGCATAAAAGAAGAGTGCAGAATGTGCAATTGCATAATCTCCTGGGCCGTATACTAGTCCCAGTTACTAGATTGAAGATTTGTATTGGGAAATATCAGAAATGCTGGTTAATAGAGCTTTCCAGATGGTAAAGTGCCAGATAACACAGCTTTTACTGTATTTGTAATCAAAAATCATAATATAAAGTGAGCACTGTACACTTTGTATTCTGTGTTGTAATTGAAATCAATATATTTGAAAATGTAGAAAACATCCAAAAGTATTTAAATAAATGGTATTCTATTAACAGCACGATTAATCATGTGATTAATTTTTTTTAATCGTGCGATTGATCATGATTAATTTTTTAATCGCTTGACAGTCCTAATAAAAATTTACAATAAGAATTCTAAATTAAAAATCACAGTAAAAACACAGGAAGTGCTATCCCAGAAACACAGATGTCATTGCTAAAACTATTAGCAACTATTTACTTATAAATATTTTCAAGGATTATTTGCTATTAAAGTATAAATTAAATAGCACAATGACATCCATCTGCACAATGGTGACAAAGGAGGAGTGCTAAGGGTAATAAAAACAACATTTTAAAAAGTAAACAATTAAAAGGAGAAAAACTGTTTAATATGGGTTACAAGGAAGGGAGTCAGGTTTCAGCGGGGTAGCCATGTTAGTCTGTATCAGAAAAAACAATGAGGAATCCTTGTGGCACCTTAGAGACTAACGAATTTATTTGGGCCTAAGCTTTCGTGGGCTTCATCAGATGCGAGGAGTGGAAAATACAGTAAGCAGAATAACCTAGAGAATTTTTCACTTGACCAGAGCTCAAAGAGCCAGGAAGCACACGGTGGGAGGGATAGCTCAGTGGTTTGAGCATTGGCCTGCTAAACCCAGGGTTATGAGTTCAATCCTTGAGGGGGCCACTTGGGGATCTGGGGCAAAATTGGTACTTGGTCCTGCTAGTGAAGGCAGGGGGCTGGACTCGATGACCTTTCAAGGTCCCTTCCAGTGATAGGAGATCTCCATTATTATTATTATTATGAAAAGATGGAAGCGAGCGCAACTCAGGGGAATCACAGCAGCAGATAAGACAAATGTGTGAACTGTTAGTAGACTACGAAAAACAGAAGTACTTGTGGCACCTTATAAACTGATAAGGGATTCTTCTAAACACCCAAAATGTGAGAGACAGTTTTTTGGGCGTGTACATAAAATAGTCCATTGACTCAAGCAGCACCTCCCTACGTTAGATCAGATGGAGAAGAGCTGCGCGCCGAGGCACTGGAATGTCCTGGGCCTCTCAGCACCCAGCGTCCCGTGAGAGGGGAAATAAAAAGCCCCTCTTCCCCACATACTATTTTTGCAAACACGACAGGTGGCTCAGCCCACGGGGTAACTGTTACCCCCTTTGCCCCTCCCTGTGCCGGATTTTTCCCTCTGCCACCAGCCCCTCATCCCTGGGCTTAACCCAGCTCCTACCCTCCCCAATTTTGCCCCTCAGCCACTCTCCTGCCCCCAGCTGTTTGACCCCCACACACACAGTCAGTTTCCACCCGCTGCTCAGACCCTGCACATCCCCCCCCTCCAATTTGCCTCCTTTTAGCCCCTGATTTTAAACCCAGTGAAGGCAGAGGCGTTAGTACGAGCCAAGCAGCAAATGCTGCCGGGTAGCAGCAGGGTGCTACGGGGTACCAAGGGGGGGTAAGGCAAAGGCTCTAGCCCCATAAGCCCCCCCCCGCCGTCCCTGCCCAGTTCCTGGGCTCCCTGTCCCCAAGCGCGTCCCCTGGGTCGCTTCCTACCCGCTGTGCCCTCGGGCAGCAACACGTCGGCTGTGGCACCTCGTCCCCTTCGGCCCAGGCGGCAGCGGGCTCCCCAGGCGGCGATCGAGCGCCCAGGCTCGGCAGTGCGGGTGGCGGCTTGGCAGGAGCCGGTGGCACCGAGGCGCTCCCCTCCGCCGGCAAGCACGTCTGAGCGACTGCTGGCATGCTCCCTCTAGCGGCATCCGGGGCGAGGCCTCGGGCTCAAAGCTGACGCGCAGGGGGCGCGGCAAGTGCTGTTTTTCTCCGCTGGTTTTCTCACTGTGCGGTAACTGTTGGCCTTTGATTGCAGATGGAAGTTCCTCAAAGTTTCACAAAAACAACAAGGAGTCCGGTGAAACAACCCCCCCAAACCGCCACCTTTCCCTGTGCCACGGGGATGGGTCCTGACTCTAGCGCCCGCTGGGCACTGCAGGGGAGCCGCCAGGGCATCCCAGCCCCCCAAGACCCCAGCCCCTCCCCACCAACACCGGCTCAGCTAATGTCTCTCCCCGCACTGACAGCTCCCCGGTGAGTGCTGAATGCAGGTGGCAGCAGAACAAGGCAACTTCTCCGCAGTCCTAAGGGTAGGGGGTTAAAGGGACTGAGTCCAGGTGCCCACCCCAGCCATGGGGCTGCAGTGCTGGAGGGGACTTGAAGGGACACATTCCAGCCAACGCCCCCCACGCACACACACACCAGCAAAGGGGATGCAGCGAGCAGTTGAAGGGACAGAGTCCAACTGCAGGGCTTACTTTGTAATGAAAGAGGTGCCAGGGATCAAGGAATGTTTTTACATCCATAACTGATGCAGCAAGCCCAGAGGTGCCGGGCTCTGAACTGCCGAGGCCCAGAGGTGCCGGGGCTCTGAACTGCCGAGCCTAGAGGTGCCGGGCTCCGAACTGCCAGGCCCAGAGGTGCCGGGCTCCGAACTGCCAGGCCCAGAGGTG